CCGGTTCGATGGGGCAACAACGAACAATGACCTACAACCTTTTTCCCTTCCCCTTCCACACGCCAGGGTCTACACCCTACAGGCCTGGGCCTTTCACTGATTGATTTTCGCACATCATCGCCGACCACCAACTTTTCCAGCCGCACACCGCAAGCAGGTCTACAACCCTTTTTCCTTCCCCTTCACGCCCTCTCCTCCCACCTTGACAACAACCAAAACGCTGGCTGAAACTTTTCCTCTGTTTCCCAACCGCTCGATGACCAAAAGCCGCGCAGCCGACTGCCCTTCCTTCGAACCGGGGACATGTCAGTCTGACCGCTGTTACTCCGGTTCGATGGGGCAACAAACAACAATGCTGATAAGCAACTCCAACCAAATCAGCCGCCGTGCTACTGAATGCAGAAGTCATGCCTTTTAAGTCAAATGCGCCGGAACAACGGCTGTCTGCGCGTGTGCCTCCCCCTGTTCCAAAGGGTTCTCTTTCGCGCGCGCAATTTCAAGAATGCAGGGTGCTTTTCTATCGGAGATTAGGTTCAGTAAAGCGGCTAATGCACAGGGACTGAGTGCAGACTTGCGCCAAACAAGTGTTCAAACACCTTCAAGTCTTCCGACCTTTCGCCTTTCGGTTCGCTCTTTCTTTCCCTCGGGAATTTTTTGCACGCGGAAATTCAAGAGTGCAGGGGTCTCACTCCCTAATTGGCCGTTCATTCGGCACTTTTGCTCGACAGATGTGCGCGGCGCTACACCTATCTTTCTCTCTTCGCCTCTTCTGTTTACTCTTTCTGTCAGCCGCTGCGCGCTTACACGACCTCCCCACCAACCACCACAGCCAACACAACAGCATCATCCTCCCAGCACCATGAAACTCTTCCTCTATTTCCCAACCGCTCAATTTACCAACGGCCGCGCAACCGACCGCCCTTCCTTCGAACCGGGGACATGTCAGTCTGACCGCTGGTACTCCGGCTTGATGGGGCAACAAAGAACAATGGCCTACAATGGCCTACGAGGCTCTACACCCTACGTGCATGGGCCTTTCGCTGACTGATTTTCACACATCATCGCCGACCACCAACTTTTCCAGCCACACACCACAAGCAGGTCTACAACCCTTTTTCCTTCCCCTTCCATACGCCGGGTTTGCACCTTACCGGACAACAGCGGGCAGGGGCGCCTGAATTTTAACTTTCCCTCACAGTCCGGCACCATCAGCCACGCGTCAGGCATCTATGCCAGCTTCCTTTCTCCTTCCTTTCTTTTTCCGCAACCTCCCATCCCAAACACATGGCGCCCTACAGACACTCACTGCTGATACTCGCATCCAACCAAAGCAGACGCCGTGCCACTGAATGCACAAGTCATGCCTTTAAGTCAAATGCGCGGGAACAACGGCTGTCTTTCCGCTCCCCTCTGGCTGAAACTTTTCCTCTCTTTCCCAACCGCTCAGCTTGCCAAAAGCCGCGCAGCCGACTTCCTTCGAATCGGGGACATGTCAGTCTGACCACTGTTACTCCGGTTCGATGGGGCAACAAACAACAACGCTGCTAATCAAATCCAACCAAACCAGCAGCCGTGCTACTGCATCCACCACACCGCTCCACAGCCATCAATTACACAGCTCCTTCTCCACACCCCATGTCACTGCCACGCCCTTTCAACATGCACTCCCGCAAGCCTACATGCCTCAATGTTTGATACTCCCCACTTCACCCACTTCCCGCACTGCAAGCCAGTAGCCAAGCAAGCAAGAAAGCAAGCAAGCCAGCCAGCCAGCCAGCAAGCAAGCTATTGACCGCCAAGCCTCTCTCCAGAAGCGCCGACTCACGGCATACTGTGTGTGTGTGTGTCAACCCCAGTATGCAGGGCACTGAATTTTTCATTGTGCAGTTTCCACGCAGGGGGACGGGACACCACTGGCATTAGGTGCTGATGCAGTGGGGGATGCCCCACTGTGTACCTGTTCCAAGCTGTTGACCACGCTGTGACCCTAATCTTCCTTGGTTTGCTTCCATGGTGGTTTGCGCGATACTCCCCCAAACCTTTCTCTAGCTGATGAGCCGATTTCCACTGTTGTCCAGCTGCAGTCATGCAAAAAACTTTGCTCAACATTCCAGGTGCGCTGACCCTTCCACCTTTTCGTTCCATCGCCATTTTTTCGGGGAATTGAGTTAACTGAAAACCAATGTCAGAGTGTGCGTCACGCGTTCGATGGCCGGCACCGGTCTGTTGAGTCCAAATGAGTCAAGCTCAGAGTATTTTGATGTATTTTGTCGAGTTCAAGGGCGCTGATGGTGAGTGTTCCCAACAGGGGCAGAAGCATGTGATACTCCGCTGGGGAAGGTCCTTAGGTGGTGTGCGGCCGAACGCGCAAACGGTCCAAAGATGTGCAGCATAATGTGCAAAGGAATGTGGTTCTTGTAAAAGGTTTTTTTTAAGATCAGACCCCATGAAGAACTTATATAATACTATCAAATTACAAAAAACTATATGTTCAGCCAAAGACTAAAGCCCGAACTCTGATTGTTTGAAAACACACCATGAAATGCAAAAAACGACGGGTTTGCAAAGAAACATCGCCGCGACCCGACTTCAAGGCCTGCGACCTTTGGAGTCTCGGTGTTGCCACTTGGCGTTTGGGGATGTCTCGATCGCGACGAGCGCAAAAGTCTGGGCAACGAAGTGAGTTGAATGCTCAGGGAAAATGGTAACTTGGACTGATTGGTGCGGCCAAAATATCATGAGCTGTCTACAGGCAGTCTTTTGGTGACATGGTCAGGCATTGAGAATGTACCCGCAGGGGGGGGTGGACCGTTGGGGAAGCGGCTTGCAAGAATGACGGGGCGTTATGGTGGCAATGGTATTTCTGAATTTTTGACGCTTGACTAATATACATATTGTTCAAGCATGCTGTCTCAACCATTGGTGACAATGCATGACAATGCCATGTTAAGAACCATCGCCCGTGAAAGAACATCAAATCCCCTGTGATATCGAAAAAAGGACCAGGGGGAGTGTGACACCAAATCCCCGGTGTGAGACGACACATGAAGTCGGCACAGACATCCGTCGGCGCGCTCAGGTGGCCTATGTCGCGCTTTCGGGCAAGCCACCCTTCTGGGGCAGCCCGGGGCCCGGGATCGGCCCACACCACTTTCAGAGGTGAGGCGCGTTGCGCTTCGGACGGCGCCCTGAAAATCCGGACGGGTGCGTTTCTTGCACAGCTTCAGTCGCAGCTGCTCAGCTTGTTCAGAGGCTGATATCATATCAGATGTCAGGGATCCTTTGTACATGATCAGTTTAATATGTTCCACGTGGGTTTTCCATGGTTTCCTGTTCACTTGCTGGCTCCCGATCAGTGGAGTGGTTTTTGCTTTGTTAGCATTTTTACTATTTACCTGTGTCCCTGACAGGGTCCTGTGGTAATCTAGCATGTAATTGGTTGTGTGCGTGTGTGTTTCCTCGATAGCGTGTATTGAGTCAAATTGAGGGTTCACCTTTTTGTACCTCAAAAATGATCCCTCCAAGGTAGCCATAAGAATTGAAGAGGGGATGAACTTCTATTCAACCGCCCAATCTAATCTATAAGGACTTAAGCAGTGAGTCGTTTCACCCTTGTTGGTCGGCCCTTTGTTGGACCCCCATGGACCTTGGGTTCTTGAGGCCCAAAGCAGCAAGTGGCTCGGATGAGAGCGGAGAAGTATCCCTTGAGTGGCGAGCCCGGGAGCCTGAGACTGAAACCACCGGCACGTCCGCTTAACATCCCTTTGGGCGGGTGTGATTAGCCAGTTGAACCACGAAAAAGTCGAAGCAACCAGGAAGTCATTCCCCAGCTCGATTCAATCAATTGAATTGCCCCTCCCCTGACTACGTGAAGGCTTCCCTGAAACGCGGGTTTGTCGCAGAGTTCTCAGGTTTTGGGACACCATTTCAGAGGATGCCAAGGCGCGGGAGGGAAGCGACTCGGCGGAGCACGGATGTAGCACGGCAGGATACAGGATGCTTGGTGGCCGAGGGGGCGTGATTGCCCCAAGTTCGACTCATTCTCAACATGAGAAGGCATCCAGGTGGCCACCTTCGGTAGCCTGCAAAAGAACACAATGAAAAATTGAAGCGGATGCCATCGCTTCGGCATACGCTCAATTTGACGAGAGCTGGCCCGAATGAATCTCCCCTCCTGCGGGACACTGCGGTGACTAGCAGTTGAGATAGTTAGTGCATATGATTTTTCAGGATTTACCGATGCATTTGCCGATGTTGACGTTTGATTGTTTCTATTTGGGGGGCCAACAACGCCACTCCGTCTACATTGTTCCTGCTAAATTTCATAATGCATGGATCTGAAAGGGCAGAATATTTTAAAAAAGAAGTATATTTCCTGGGTAACTTGGTAAGCGCACGAGGTCAACACAGACAGTGCCTGGAGTCCAGCTTCTTTTTCTGCAGTGTGGCTTGTAGATGTGCTCTCTGGCACTGGTAACTGCCTATTACTACCCCCCTATTGTGAAATTTAGCATTTGTTCCCTTTGCGTTTCCATGATGCCCTCTTGCAGAAGGGCACTACACTCCCTGGAACAATCATAGAAGTGCACTTCCATGTTTGTTGCAGAGAGGGTAGGTGTTCGCATTTGGCCCATTTTGTGCCCTGGCCCTTTGCGATAGTTTGTGTCTCTTTCTTCGCTTTTGCTTCCTTTCCCTTGCCGCAGTTGTCTCTGCTTTCCCTTTTCGATTTTGGATTGCTTCCTTTCTCACTTGCTGAGGAGTTTGATTTTGCTTACCTTCAATGATCCTTTGCAAACTCCAAATGCAAAATGTGTTCCAGTCCTTTGCCTCAAGAAATCTCAAGAAGCCCCCCAACCACATGTGCTTCCCCAGACTTGATCAAGGCGATCTCATACTGTTGGGGATCCCACCTGTCTCTCCACATCAAGAGTATTCCAAGGTCATTCCCGTTCAACCCACATCTCTCTCCACCTCTCTCGGTGGTGTGAGGACTTGATACAGCAGCTCTTGAAGACTGATGTGCAGGTCCGACCCGGGTTTGTCGGTCGTCAGAGGACTGACACCGTCCACTTGGTTGAACTGTTTGACAAGTTAGATTTGATGCGTTCACAGTAGCATGAAATAACTATACCGGATCTATATAGTTAGGACAACGCTGCTTGGGCCAAACAATGTGTTGTGCCATGACGTTCGGCTGTGTGCGGCTCCAACCGCCCGAGCAAGGTCCGGCTGACCGCCGATCAGGTCGAGCCCTGAACGAATTGGAGCCAGAAAGCTGATGGCGTCGTGTCATCGCAATGCGGCGACGTGAGGTCATCCGCCACCCGTGGCTGAAGATGGGCCAACTTGAGCCCGATAAGAGGGTCTTGGCACAGGCGAAGCGCACGAAGCGCGCGAAGCGCGGGAGTGTGGAAAAACCTCGAGCATCTCGGAAGCAGTTGAAGCCAAAGAAGTCGAAGAAGAGAACAGCGAGTTGATGCGAGTTGCAGTTTCTTATGCGGCAAAGGAAAGGCCGTCCTTGCTGTGCCTTCTAATGTTGCTGGCTGTCCTCCAGCTACAAGAACTTGATGACGGCAATCGTATTTTGCTGTACTTCATGCAAGTTCTGGCAAAAAGAACTACTGTAGTTCAGAGACCAATTACTTCCTTGATTTTGAAACCCATGAACGTATTGACCGCACCTGCAATGAGGTAACTTTAGTTCAATGATTTAGGAGAGCGAGAACCGGACAAAGGCAAGAGGTGCCCAGAAACAGGGAATCTGTCGAAAATGTGGGCCCAGGATCGGCGGAGTTGTTGTGCCAACCCTGTTGCAAAACATACGCGCCAACGCAGGTCCTCACGAACTTGGAACAGTTCAGTCGTGCTCCAGATTTCTTCACCTTCTGTGTTGCTTCAGCATGGCCCTCAGTACTACAGCATCGGAGCACAGACAGCAGCAGCGGTGGGCCGAAGAATTTGCATTTTGCATGCTACCCACCTAGCTTCTATAGCAACACATTGCATGTCGTATTTGTTTTTTAATTCTGCACGGGCCCAAGGCTTTTTGTAGAGATTCATAGCTTCTCGCCAGCTTTAGCCCTGATGGCACGTGGCCTCGCAGTTGCAGCTTTGGCCGCTGTGGCTGGCAGTTTGGCCTTTGTGCCTGGTGCACTGCCGCGCGGCACCACTG